GCCTCAGCTCCACCTCAGGTCATCAGGCCTTAGATGCTCACAGGAGCACCAGGCCTTTCACTTACTCGTGGGTCTCCATCAGTTTACATGGGACACTGCTTCCCCATGACACAGCACGTGGATCTAGGAGACATGTCTGGTGTGTGCTGTGAAAGACACCTGACCTCCTCCCAACTGTCTCCCTCTTTCCACCCTGCTCCTCCTTCAGACACGTCTCACCAAGGGGGGCAGGGTGACACCTTCACGACACAGAAGTCAGGCCAATTATCTGTGCACAACCTCCCAATTCTGTCGGCGTGAAAGTCAGAGTCCTTAGGGAGGTCGCAGACACTGCGCGGTGGGGCTCCCCACCCACCGGCCCTCACACACACGCACACATGCTGCAGTCTCTTGCTACTACTTCCTGCCACCGGTCTCCAACACAGCTCAGGGCCTTTGCACATGCTGCCTCCTCAGCCTGGACCCCCTCCAGAAACCCTAATGGGTCGCATTCTCGCCTGTTCCGTGCTGTCACCCAGATATCACCTTTCAGTCAGATCTTCCGACATCCTGCATGCAAACTTACACAAGTATGCCTTGTCCTCCCAAGATTTCTATTTCTCCAAAACTTCATCACACCCGGCTTACTATACATTCCACTTAATCACGTTGTTTGTCACCTGTCTGCCTTCTCTAGACCACAATCCCTGGGTATGGGGACGGCCTGGGCTGTTCACCACTGTAACCCCAGCTCGTGGAATACCACCTGGCATGCAGGTGTTCCGTAAGCGTTTGTTGAAAGAGCTGCATGCTTCATGAAATGAGAGTGGTATGCACATTTCCTCGTGGAGGGCAGCACGCTGCTGTGTTCCCGGTGACAGAAGAACGCAGCCTAAGATCGTGACACAGCAAACCTGTCAGCAAGCAGGCGGAGGGCCTGAGCTTGCGCCCCCTGCATCAGAGGCTCAGATGTAGAGACGGAAAACTCCGATCTGAGTCAGGGAGCAGGGCTTCCTGCCTTCCGAGCCTGTCCATTCAGAGGCAGGCCCCAGCCCACTCTCCCTTCTTCCAGTAGACAATGTCCAGATGCCCCCTGGAGCTGATGTTCCCAGAACCTGCACTCCAGGAAAGTGACCCTAAAGATCCATGAAAGCCAGGCAGGGGGAGGAGGGTGCCCGAATCCGCCCACGTGGCGTCCGAATCCTGCTGCCTGCCGTGCTCTCCCCGCTCTGCGTCCCCCGGGATGTCTCGGCAATCAGCCACCAGCGCTGGGTACGCTCTCAGGGGTCCCAGTCCCAGGGTACATCCAGCCGCAGTCCTGTGACAACTCCCCTTAGCAGAGACACGGAAAAATCTGCTGCTGTCACCTGCTGCTGAATGGCTATGACGTCACGACTAACTCTCTCTTCTACAAACATAAACCAACCACAGAAATCTCCTCTGCATGGCCACCCGGCAGTGGCCACAGTGTGCACTGAGCCACCAGGACAGGCTGGAGCAGGAGGCCGGCAGGGCTCCTTGCCTGGTTCGCACCTCCAGGCTCACCATCCTGGGCAGCCATGTGCCCCTGACCACCCAGCCGTGGGCGGCCACGTCCTACGTGCA